CACTTCCTGTGTGTGGTTTCCTGTATTTACATTTATAGATGATTTGGAAGAGTTGAAGAGAGCTCAAAGAGCTGGCACAATGCTTTATAGTGTAGAACGCATGATCTGCAAAGTGGTATAAATAAACATTTACATTTACTTATAGAATTACTTACACAATAAAAAGAAATATGCTTATCAGAGGTTTTTTTTTTTTTGTTGTGGTTTTTTTTTTTTTTTTTTTTTTTTTTTTTATTTTAGACCTAGTCATGTAATGTTCCTCTAGGATGAGGGCAAAATTCAAACCAAAAGTGACATGTACACTTTTAACAGTGACTGTCATTAATGATCTCCTGGTGAATTTTTTCAGTATGATAAACTTGTTGAAATTATTTATAGTTATGGGTGCTTGCCTTTCTAAAAAGTTATTGTACTTTGAACACAGGCTAGATTCATCCATGTTTCAAAAGTGGATTGTTATGCAAGAGATTTCATTTTAGTGGTCTACTAGTAAAGTCCATGCACTGCTTGGAACATGCTGAAGACTGATCCCTGTGAGAGGCCCCAGCTGCGTGGGCCCCAAAAGTGAGAAACTAAAATAATGAGAACATTAAGAAAATGGTAAAAGTGTTTTGACAGCTTGACTGGATTTACCTGTGCTGTGCTAATATCCGTTTTACAGAGAGTTTAAGCTGAAACTAAAGAAACATGGAATATTTGCCTGTTTGGAAATTTACCACATCTGTTAACCTTAAGCCTGAGCCAAGCCTTGGCATACAGTTACAATTACTAATTAGCATTAGATACGGTTTGTTGGGTTTGGGTTTTGGGTTTTTTTGCTCTTGCATCAATAAAGAAAAACAAGCTTCTATATAACTTCCGGACATTGGGTGGCACTATTGCCTCATATAAGCCACCATATAGATGCCTCCTAGCTTAAGTATCGCAGAGTTGGCTAAGCTCTCCTCTTTTCCTCTAACATAACTATATAAGGCAAGTCAGAAAGTAGAACTATTAGCTTTCTTCCCCTCCCCCCCATTTTTTTTTTAAATTTGATCTTAAGTAATCATCTTGCTTTAAATAGTAACGTGTTTTTGACCAAGGTCTGATGTTGCTCAGTTTAAAGAACTGGTGTTTTGATTTCAAGAGCTAAAATGGAAAGATATTCTGTACAGTCAAATTGCTTTCATGTGTGAGTACCTCGGCCTGTGATGAAACTGTGCACTTATGTAAAAAGCAGGAATAGCACCTGTGTATTTTATTGTTTTAATAAAAGTTCAGTTTAAAATTATTTTTTTCATTAAGACCTGATTTCTGTCAGTGACAGGACTGACACATCAGATACAATTATGTGTTTCTGTAACTGCAAGATCTCCACTAAGTTTACTTTTAATATGTATTTAGGTCTGATCTCCTTGCTGGCAGGTATAAAGTTTGTTCCATATCAGAAGACTGGTATGAAAACATACAAAAAAATACCCATATGGTGTTATCCTTCCCCAGAAATTGAGCACCCCTCAGTTCAGGAAGGATATTGAGGTGCTGGAGCATGTCCAGAGAAGAACAACCAGGCTGGTGAAGGGACTCGAGCACAAGTCCTATAAGGAGAGGCTGAGGGAGCTGGAGTTGTTTAGCCTGGAGAAGAGGAAGCTCAGGGAAGACCTCATCACTCTCTACAACTCCCTGAAAGGAGGTTGTAACCATGTTGGGGTTGATCTCCTGCCAGGCAACTATCAGGTAGACAAGAGGCCATGGTCTTAGGCTCTGCCATAGGAGGTTTACGTTGGATATTAGGAAGAAATGCTTTACAGAGAGGGTAATCAGGCATTGGAATGGGCTGCTCAGGGAAGTGGTGGATTCTCTGTCGTGGAGGTTTTTAAAATGAGACTGGATGTGGCACTTAGTGCCATAGTCTAGTAACCACGGTGATAGTGGATCAAGGGTTGGACTTGATGATCTCAAAGATCCTTTCCAACCCAGCTGATTAGATGGCTCTATAATTCTATGATATAGGTTGCTATGAAGGAAGTTAGCTCCATCCTGGCCAGACCCAGTATACCAAATCTCTACAGCTTTTTAGGTAAAATTCAACAAACTAGTTGTTTTCCATGCTGTCTGCACAAAGTTTGTAATTGAAGTTTGCTGTGTATGTCATGGGCATTTTCTTAGGATGGGCTATGTTTTCTGTAGAACTATGTAAAAACTTGTTACTGCTGTTATGCCCAGTATGCTACACTGCTTGGCCACAAAGCAATTTTCCAGGCTCTTAACTGAGTGGTTTTGATTTAGGACTGTGTATTTCAGGGTTTGGAAAATATTTTTCTGTGTGGTGTTGCCATCAATCTCCTAAATTTCTTTTGATTTTTGTATTTTCTCTGTGTCATGTTGACTTGATATTGCTGTATTTGAATAGTTCTCTACTATATGTGGTTTTCTGTGGGCTTTTTTTTTTTTTGATCCAGTTCTGTTTGACTTTCTATATCAAAAGCGGAATGAAGTAGTCCTAAGGGCACGATTGGTAGTGGACATAATCTAAAATTGCTTCGAGGCTCATCAGGCTGTGATCAGTGCAGTTGCTCTGAAGTGACACAAGGCTGTAATGGCTCCTAAGGGCCATTTCACATCTGAAAATTTCTAGAATGAGGAGTGCTCTTGTTGCTACTGTCAGTTTTGATCAATAAGCTACCCATATGGCTGTCTTAGCCCTTGTTTCCCCTTAAACCAGTCAGAAGGACAAGGCAGATGCCCACCTTTGAGTGAAGAAGATCAGAATGCACAAGTCCCTTTCAGACATAATTAAATCTATTTTTATTGCATAGAAGATGGTTTTTGTGCTTTTGTTTATGTCAAGGGATGGTTGTTAGGTAACTAATTATAAGCAAAGATGGTTGGAAATCTCAGAATTGAATCATTTAATAATGACTGATCTAATGAATTTAAACTGCTTTTTTGCCTAAGTGGGAGGCTTCAACAGGCAGCAAATACCAACTTGTCCACTTGGAGTTAGTTTACAGGCCCAAAATTGTAGACTGATTTTGTCTGTAGGTATGTCAGAATACATACCATCTCAGAATAAGAGAATAATTTAGGCTGGGAAGGACATTTTGAGGTCATCTGGGCCAGCAGTCAACTCAAAGCTGCTTCTGAAGTGGCATAGTTTTCCAACTCTGCATGTTCAATTGCATGATTATTGTGCACACCCAAGGTCCACAAGAGAACTACTTCAGCTAAAGAAACTAGATGCTGTCATATTTCTGCCATTGCTTAGAGTGTTTGAATCTAAGTATAAACCTCCTGCACTTCTTTAGATTATTGGCACTAAAAGCTGTAAAACAGACATACCCCAAAGTGTTTGGTGTCACCATCTTATAGGATGAATTTTTCAAGGTTCTAAAACCTGGTTTGAATGTTGCATGTTGTTTGAACATGTCTGGATGTTACTGTGACTACTTGTCTCTTCCACTGTCCAAGATTTTTTTTTTTTTTGGTCGCCAAATTGGGATGTGATAACAACTTTTGAGTTGGTTCTCGAATTGTCATAGTTTACAATGAAGCCATAATAAGGCAAAACAAAATATGTGGAAGCTAGTTATGAGATATAGGACATCTTGACGCAGTAATCCCAGCAGCTGATGCAGGTTAGTCAATGCTTGAGTGACTGTATTATTTATAGCCCATCAAACCAACAAAAATGATAAAGAAAAATTCATAGGACATTATTAGACCATCCACTTTAGTGTTCCTTTAGCAGATTGCCTTGTTTTTTCCTTTGCCACTATGACTAGTACGCAGTTGAGAAGGGTAGGTTATTCTTTGTACCACTGTTTCTTTTCATGTAGGAAGTGGAGTCAAGGGAAAGTAGTTAACATGGCCAGTAAGCTCTTTAAACATATGGAAGCATTTTGTTCCCCCATCGTTTTGCTCAGTTAAACCCCTTATTGTTCATCTATACTTTGACTTTTGGTTGACAAGGTAATATTTAAATAAATTGATTAAAAAACACTATCAGGTAGTTTAGGGCTAATGTTTTGTATTTTCAAATAGCTACACTTCAACAGGGAAAATATAAAGAGCTCAGATATGCTTCATAGAGACAATTCTATGTCAGATGGAAGCAGCAGGAGACCAAACTGGAGAGAGCAGTGAGTCTGACAGTTCTTTAGGCAAGCTGTTCATTTGACCAGAGTGGGCAATATGCCCTTGGCTTATTATCAGTACTGGAAAGCTTCACTCCTCTACATCTGCCTGTAGAAGTATTACCCTTGTTTCTCCTTGACTTTGTGCAGTACAATAGACAGGAGCATCTCATAATCTCATCACCAGAACCTTGCAAGAAATCAAAATAATACATTTTGATTCACATTTGCTGACCAAGGTTTTACACTCTTGATCTTTCTTCATTGGTCTGCAGCTCTGTTAGAGCCAAATTTACTGTCCATAATGTCCACATTGGCATTTATGCGTGTTAGACATGCATAAATCCATCTGCATTACCCCTAAACCCATTTTTTTTGCGTCTCCATGTCTGCATTTCTTTAACCAAATATAGGTGAGGCATTGGCAGCTGTGGAGCCTCCAATGCCAAGGCTATGCCCAGGGTCATATGCCTATACCCCTGTTGCACCCCGTGTCCCCACTCCTGGTCACACACGTAGTTAGGAAAGGTTGTCTGAAGGTGCCACGTGCTCTCCTGGGTAAAGGTTTGGGAGGTCGTTTCAGAGATGAAGTAGGCCACTTGTTAGGGTGGATCAGGTTCCTGGGCTAACATTTCACAGAACCACAGAATCAATTCAGTTTGGAAAAGGCTTCTGAGATCATCGACTCCAGCCTGTGACCGAGCACCGCCATGACAACTAGACCATGGCACTGAGTGCCCGCCAGAGGGCGCCGCGGGCTCAACTCCGCCTCCCGCTCCTGCCGGCGCTGGCGGCCTGTCCTGCCAGGGAGGAGGGAAGGGGAGGAGGGATGGGAAAAGGAGGAGGAGGGGAAGGGCGGGCTGGCGGCAGCGGCGGCACCACCGCCACCAGCCGGAGGCCGCTCGCCGGCGCTCCTGCGGCGGAGGCGGGCGCTCAGTGCCCCGCAGCTCATCGGCCCCTGCCAAGATGTCTCGGGATCCCGGCTGCTGCAGCCTCTGGCTCCTCTTCGCTGCCTGCGCCCACCTCTTCTTCCTTCGCCCGCCGCTCCGCAGCCGGGGTGAGTGGCGGGGGCCGGGCCGGGACGCCATGGCGAGGTGAAGGGAGGAGACCCGGGACGCTCGGCCCCTCCGCGGAGGTGATGAGCGGGAGGAGGGCACGGAGCGCTGGAGAGCCTGGAGGGACGCCGGAGCCGCCGCCGCCGCTTCCTCCCCGCTCCGTCCCGCCCCGCGGGGGGAGGCGGGCGGGAGAGCGGAGGTGTCCCTTTCCCCGAAGTTTGTTGGGAATCCGGGCTGGAGCGCGCCCGGGCAGCGCGGGGTTCCCTGCGCGGCCCCGGCCCCGGGGGCAGCGCCGGGAGCGCTTTCCGCCCTCGGGGCGGTGTGCGGGGCATGGTGCGGTGCGGGCAGGGGCGGCCCGCGCCGGGGAACCGGCCCGCAGGTCGGGAACGTCGTCCTGGAGCAGCCGGGTGAACCCAGCGCGGAGCTGTGCTCGTGTTGGAGCAGCGCCGCGCTGACAGGGGGGGCTTTGCGGGGGGCAGGTGAGAAGGTAAAACCATCTGGTTAAAATACCCAGCCGAGAGGAAAGCAAAATACTACAGTGTTTTGGAGACGTTTGTAATGTGCCTGGTGAGGTGGGAGAAGATTAAAGGAGAAGGGATACGAGTATGGGTTGCGGTTGGGTTGCTTCAGGCTCCTGGAGTTGGGAGCTGCTGCCGTGGGTATAAGAGAGGGAAATAAATGTTTCTATCTGTTTTGTTTCTCATTCTTTCGGTTCGTGAATGTTTGCTAGCATAGGCTTGTCAGTTTGTTGGAAGCCTTTGGATTTGTTTCTCCTCTCCTGCTATGGCTTGTGGACCAAAATCACACAGAGGGAACCTGGTACTAATAAATCCCATTTTTAGCAAAGTAAAACTGATATTTTGCTTTTTCTTTTGCAAAACACTTTTCGTTTCACTGACATAACTTGGTTTTTGGGGGAATCCTCATACTTTACAGCTCTTCCTAAAGCTGCATCTCATTCTTTCCGGGATGAGTAGTTTAGCTTTAGTGCTTCAGTAGCACTTTAGATAATCTCAAACAGATTGTAATAACAGTCAGAGAATAGCACCTTCAGTTTTTCCTCTGTGTGTGTGTTTATTGTATATACACATGTGCAGCTAGAAGGCAGAATGGAAACACTTGTGTTCTTGTTTAGTAGGTCTTGATTAATACTTGTGTGGAATGTGTTCACCAGAAGTTGATTGAAGTATCATGGGGGTTTTTTTTGTTTTTTGTTTGTTTGGTTTAGAATATCCTTTTATGTTAGAGCCCATCTTTCCTAAATAACCTATGCTTTTGAGATGGTCTGGATAGTAAGTTTGCAAAACAATGAGCTTTGTTCTTGGAAACCAGATAATTTGGATTGCCTTTCACAGAAGCAAAGAAGTCTGTCGGTAGTTAAGTAATTTCATAAATTCCAGCTTGCAGGTGGCAGCTTACAGAATGGGAAAATGTATTCAGTTGATTTTGTATGGTCTAGCTACTAGACAGTAAGAAGGGATGATGATGATGCTATTTCTTCTACTGTTTTTCTTTGCTCTGCCTTTTATGAATATACTGGTGTACACAGCACTCAGATGTTTCAGTGGTTCAGCTGCCCTCTTCCCATATGTGTAAGGAAATGTAATTAGTTGCTTTTGTTTTATGAAAAGCTTCAGATGCTGTAAATTTGCTTGCATCACCCCTTCTTTCCTTTTCACCCTGTACTCTCCCCATTTTGTGATGATAAATCTGTAAATCTTCATTCTTATCTGGTTAGACCACAATTTTTGATGCTGATATAGTAGCAACAATGAAGAAATATTATAAAAGCTTCCATGTAAGTACATGAAACTAATTTATATTGCTTGCTAACGCTCACAGGCTGTCTCATCATGGAACATCCCGTCTCTTTGACTGACAGCATCAGTGCAGATTTTCTCTGGAATCATGTCAATCCATAGAATCTTATGTTTTTTGAAAACTTGGGAGAGGGAGGAAACCCAGCCAACTCCCAACCAAAACAAAAATAGACCTTTCGTTAAATTATTATTAGAAATATAAAGAAATTCTGTTTTAAATGTTTTGTCTACTGTGTGCAACATAATCACTGGCTTCATTATTTGAAATGCTTATTATTAGCCATGGTTTTGTCATACATTGTCATAGAATTTGTAAGTTTCTTGTAGCTCATCTAAACTGACCCAGAGCCCAGCAAGGTGGCTGGAATGACTTTGGGGTCAGTCAGCCTTGAATTAGACTGTAAAAAAAAAAAAGATAACAAGAGGTGTTGCCCTTCTGACTCAGATGGCTTTGTCTGTGAAAGAGAAAGAGTTAACTCCTCAGTTTTTAACATCCTTTGCACTTCAAGGACCTATAACTGCAAGTGTTTGGAAGTTGTTTATGCTTGGAAGGGTAGTACTGAAGAAAGATTGCTTCTGTACTTAAAATGTGGTATTATATCGTTATATATATATTCATACAGCATATTTTAATACTGCAGCATTTATATCTATTTTTCTTATAGTTTATTGGCACATATTACTGTGGTTCAGCTGCTGCACAGTGAAAATAAATGGTTGAGTTTTATTTTCTAATGTTATAAGCAAGTCTTCTCATCAAAATTTTAATGGAAATAATGGAACACTTGACAAAAATAATTAGGAATTGAAGCTGCTTCCATTACATTTTCGGATTACATTTCCAGGTTTTGAATCGATCCAGAAATGTTGTCTAGCTTTTTGAATGAATTTTAGACCTGTTCTCAAGAGAAATAAAGATAAGATTGATGATAATAAAGAGCTTTAAAGTCTTTCTAAGATTTCTTTTTTATCCTCAGTTCTCAGAGTAGGAGAGGACTAGCAATTTACACGATCTGCTTGTACCAAAGGACATGATTGTAATGCGCAAAGTGCATTAATAAGCTTCAGAATACACAATACATTAAATAACAAAGTGACAATTACAAAATTACAGGTTGGATTTAAGATGGCACCTTGCTGGCTTGCCTGTGTTTTCTTCTGCTTTAGGTAGCTTTGTTTGTGAGTAATCATGCAAATTATCACCCAGGCCTTTTGATTACTGTGGTGCCTACATAGCTTGAATTTTTAACAACTAGTAAGTTCCTTCTTTTATTATATTTTCTCTGTGCTCTGTGGCAAGGCAGTGGTTCAGCTGAGGTATGCTTACATGGTATCAGAAAACACAAAGGGACTAGAGAAAAGTCTGGATTTAGCAAAGGTACCTCTGGTTCTAGAGATTGATCTGTACTTTAGGGAGTTGTGCTGAAAGAAGTATGTTGCAGTTATCCGAATTAATAATGATGTTTAGGTGTGAAAAGTTACTGTTGTGTTATGGTAAGATTTGATAGCTCCTAGAGCGAGGTCCATGTGTACTTTGCACACAACAAAAAGATATCCTTGCCGCACAGAGTTTATGGTTTCTACTTGTGTTATACAATTGACCTGGTCATGAGCTGTGTGTGTCATTTTTCTATCACTGGTCCACTCCTGGGCACACCTTTTTCAGAAATCTCTTGGGAGTGAATTGCAGGTGGATGAATTCATCTTGGAGATGTCCACTTGGGCACAGGCATTGTATTTTCTACTTACACTGTAGTCCCGTTGCTGATATGTTGTAGGCCAGCTAAATTTACTATGTTCTTCTCCTGCCACCATTTTCCCACTAAATCCTTAGAAGAGGATATTTATTTCCAGGCTGAGAGATTGGGTTGCTTAGCCAGAACAGTCTTGGTCCCAGTTTATTTCTGAAGATGGCTTTATTCGTATCAAATATATGTGCATAACAGATTTGCTAATAAGGTAGTAGAGTGTTGCTAAGATAAAGTCATACAGTCTGTGAGTGAAAAGCTTGATTACTGTTGGGTGAAGACTTGAAGCTTTTTTTGTGGTGTCTACAGAGGTCTAGTAGTCTGTTTTTTGAGTGATTGTTCAGTAGTTTAAAAATAGTCTGAACAGTTCTTGTCTTATTAAAATATATTAGCTGGAAAAAGTCTTCCTGATATATTTGATGTAAAAGATATCAAGTTGTTTTAATGTGTTTTTTTGTTGGAAAAGAAGTGGACACTTAGTTCTGTGATCACAGGGAATAAGAATAATGGTATAGAGGGAGATTTTAGCATTCATTACAGGTATTGATTTGTTGAATAAATTATATGTCTGAGTGTTGAAGTTGCACTGTGTGTCAGGGCAGCTGCAACAAAAGTAATTTTCAGCTGTTGTCCTCAAAAATAAAGACAGATTGATACGGGAGGTGGTAAAAGAGAGCTGGTTGCTTTTCAAGGTTCATCTCCTACAAGCTCGAGAATGATTCGTCCCCACATGCAGGAAGGCAAGTCAAGATGGCAGGAGACCCACATGCATGAAAAAGAAGCTCCGGGCAAAACTCAAACATTAAAAGGAAGCACTCAAGAGGTGGAAATACAGAGACACTGTTTGAGAGTGCAGGTATGACATTCCGAAAGCCGGAGCCCAACTGGAGCTGAATCTGGTGAGGGATTAAACTTGTTAAAGGCAAGATAATGGGCTTCTACAGGCGTATCAGCAAAAGGGAGACTAGGGAGAATATGGGCTTGCTTCTCAGTGGGGGAGGGACTTGGTTAAAAGAAGGGGATGGAAGTGGGTGAGGAACTGAACCCTCTTTGCCTTGATCTGTACTATGAAGACCCAGCTTCAGCAATCCCAGGCCCTTGAAACTCATGGCAAAGTCTGGAGCAATAAAGAGTTACTTTCACTGGAGAAGGACCAGTTTAGGGAACATTTAAACAGTTGTACAGATGTACAAACAATACAGAAGTCCACAGGACCTGATGGGAGGCACATGCAAGTGCTGGTGGAGTTTGATGGTCTCAATTGTAGGCTACTTTTGATAATCTTTGAAAGGTCATGGTGACTGGGGGAGATTGCTCAAGACTAGAAGAAAGCAAATATCAGCCCTGTCTTCAAGGAGGGGAAGGAAGAGAATCTGGGGAAACTGTAAGTGGGACAGTGTTACCTCAGTGCCTGGGAAGGTGGTGTAGTAAATAATCCTGGATAACATTGCCAAATAAGAAAGGACAAGACAAACATATAAAGGACAAGAGGGTGAATGGGAGAAGTCACCATGTTTTTATGAATGGGCAGTCATGCTTAACCAACCCGAAGACTTCTATGATGAGATGACTGCCTTCATGAATGTGGGGACGGCAGTGCGTGTTGTTATCCCAACTTTAGCAGGAGTTTGAGTTCAGTTCTGCCTCCTATAAGGTCATATGCAATCTGATGACGTGTGGGCTGTATATGTGGACAGTGAGGTGGATAGAAAGCTGTCTGACTTGCTGGGCTCGTGGACTCTGATCAGTAGCATGGTGGGTCCACCTCTTCATTAATGACATTGACAGTGGGATAAAGGGCACCCTCAGTGAATTTGCAGATGATACAAAATGGGCAGGAGGGATTGATGCACAAGCTGGTTGAGCTGCTATTCAGAGGGACCTCAGTGGGCTGGAGAAGTGGGCAAACAGGAAGCTCAAGACATTGAGTTCAGTGCAGGGAAATACCAAATCCTGCCACTGACAAGGAGGCACCCCATGCACCATTGCACACTCGGAGCGTTTTTTAGTGGAAAACAGCTCTGCAGAGAAGGACCTGAGAGTCCTGGTATGCAACAAACTGATCATGAATTAGCAGTGTGCTACTGTGACAAAGATGGCCAGCAGCCCCTTGGGCTACACTGGAGGAAGTGTTGGCGGCAGGGCAAGGAAGGTCTGTCTGTTCAGCACTGATGAGATACATCTGGGGTGCTGTGTCCAGGTCTGGGCTCTCCAGTACAAGAGAGAGCTGGAGTGAGCCCAGCAAAGGATCATGAAGATTATTGATAGATTAGAACACCTGACAGATGAGGAGAGGCTGAAGAAGCTGTGGCTGTTTAGCCTAGAGAGAAGAAGTTCAGGGAGGATCTTACCAAGACTTATAATTACCTGATGGGGAGCAGACTCTGGTGGGCATGAGATAGTTGGCACAAACTGAAATACAGGAAATTCCATTTGAACATAAATGTTTTTTGTTTGTTTGTTTGTTTTTTCCCTCTAAGTCTGATTGAGCACTGGAAGAGGTTGCTCGGAAAGTTTATGGAGTCTCTGTCCTAGGAAACACTCAAAATCTAAAACCTGACTAGACAGGGTCATGAGGATCAAACTTTGGGGGGATGAACTAGATGACCATTTGGGATCCTTTCCAACCTCAACAATTCTCTGATTCTCTAAAAACAAGATGAAGTAGTTTCTTTAAGTATTTCCCTGAAGAGCTTTATCTGTGCTCTCAAAGTGCAAAATAGGTTGTGGGGTTTTTTTTTCCAGGTGATCTGATTATTGTTTGATTTGTTTCATGTGCATTAATATTTTATAAAGCTTAGAAGTAGTGTGGGATGGGTTATTGAATCCACCACAGTGACAGACACGTCATCTCTTGTCAGTCACAGTTGTTTCAGATTTCAAGTGTCATTCTTCAAAATGCATATTGAAAACTAGAAGACATGAAATTTATGTTTGTTTTCAGTTTTGTGAATAAGCTGAATTTATGAAGTGATACTTTTTTTTAGGTTAATACTATGTAATTAATACATTTCCCAGAATGAATGTGTTTTGTGTTGGTCTTGTAATTAGGATTGTGTAAAGTAGAAGATATGGATCTGGTTTGTTCAGAGGAAAAGATTCCTTGTCTGAATCTGTAAGTGCGGTTATGATGGGAGAGAAGGAGGAAAATGATCAGAACATGCTGTCAGCAAGGGATATAATAGGCATTCTCGGCGTCCTTTCACACTAGAAGTGTAGAACATTTACTTGAGGACAACTTTGGGGTACACTCTTAGTTGTACTCTGTTTTATGCTTCCTGGCTAAAGGCCGTATGGAAATGTGTCTCTGGTCAGCATGAGTCTACTGCGTTAGAATGATTTTTGGGATGTCTGGATGTAGTGCTGTGATTTGAGATTCAAGTTAATCAGGACCAGAGGTGTCATTGTGAACTTCAACTCCTAGACATTCATGAAATTTGATCTCCACTAAAAGAGCATACAGATGTAGGTAACTGGAAATAGAGCACCACAGACTTTGGACAATCTTGTCTTGCTTTGCTTTATTCTAGGTTTCTAGTGCATCAAAGCAATGACAGCCGTTAGCAATTCACTTTGAAATCAATTTCAAGCAATAAATAATTTAAGTTTGCTTTAAACAATCCACTTGGATCTACTTTCCATTCCAGTTTTTAAGAAAACCATTGATCTGACCGTAATGAACATAATCTTGAATTCCTTCCGAATTACAACAGTTTTCTTTCATTTGCATCTCTTTAGCACATTTAAGAAAAAGATTTCTTACAAAGAATTTTAGCAAGGCTTTCTTATGTGAAATGGTGCTACTTTTACAAATGAGCAAGCTGAGAAAAACTGATTGACTACATCATCAAGAAAAAAATCCTCAGCACCAGAACCCTTTTTACGATTATTTTTCTAATACAAACTGGAAGTATGCATAGGGTAGTCTCACTATAAAGGGTTTAAGATAATGCTGTATCTGTGTTGATTACCTCTGTGGGTTCTCTGTTCTTTTTGTAAACATTTATTTGGGTCTCATACGTTAGCAAGTTGGACTGTTGCTCAGAGATGGCATTCAAAGCCTATGATAGCCATCTTCATGTTTGATAGAAATTTCTGTCAGCTGCTGACAGTTTCTGTGGCTCCATGTGAAGCTTTGGTAATCCAGACTTTAGGTAAAGACAAGTGGACTGCCAGTCTCCCATATGGTAGCACATTATACTTTGACCAAGTGAACTACTGGATTGAACAGATTTTTTTTCTAAAGGGATTTATTTACCTTGAAGGCAAGATGAATTGGCTTCACATCAAAAAGTGATTTTTTCAGCAATGGTACGGGAATTGTCAGGCAGCAAATGTATAAATTCCATAAGAACAGACTGTCTCATGTTCACAAAGAATATTATTAATATAGTATCATTAAGTGTGAAAAATATAACTAAATTTGGTGTGGTGTGGTTTTTTTTTGTTGTTGGTTTGTTTTTTTTTTTTTTTGCAGAACTTTGTCAGTTGGGAAAGAGAGCTCCTATAATATGAAAAAAGTCTGCTTTTTCTTTCAGCTTTTGCTGTAAGTGTAGTTCCTGAAGGTGCAGAAGATGAGACTGAACTGTCAGTGCTGCAGGTAATAAATTTTAATTTCTAGAGCAGGAACATTTTATAGACATTATAAAATAAGCTAGAAGAGACCAGAACAGAAAGCCTAATATCTCTGACATTGATTATTTTGGTCATTGACATTAGTGGTACTTATATCATGTCTTTCTTTTCAGTGTGGCATATAAGAGATAAGGTGGTGGTGGTGTTGCTGTTGAGAAAAGTTTCTGAGCGTATAATCTTTATTGTTTCAGAGGCAGGTTTTCCTTTCTTCTTGGTTTTGTTCTATATATATATATAATACCTTGAGAGGGAAATGGCTGCCTCTTTGCTAAATTAGCATTATTACATATTACTACTCAAGTCACGGCTCAAGTGAAGCCTGCATATGAAATTTCAAATTAACAGATTAGAAGAACTGATGGTCAGAGCTATCCCGAGCTTTAAATAACATAATAGGTGTTAAATATGTATGCATGTATGTCCTTTAACAGACCTCTCTCTGCCATTTTGTTATTGTATATGTTTGCAACAGATGTTTGTGTGCTTATAAAATGAATTTAAGGGAGGAAAATAAAAGTACTGGAATTAATCGAGTTAGAATCTATAACTACCATTTAGATCGAGTGATCTCACATCAAATGCAATAGAAGTATGGCCAGAGATATACATTTCTAAATATTTTCTAGTTTTGATGATGGTTGCTACATCTACAATAATTTTCATAAATTAAAAAGATCCCTATTGCAAATTGCTGATCTGCTGCAGTATATCTGGGAGACTTGGTAATCTCATTCTGTTGTCATTACTTCTAAATTGCTCTTTCCTAAATTCCATTACTTTCTCAATCCAACTGTTTATCCTGTCATTCTTATATAAGATATAGTTCATAAAGGCTCTTCTACTATTTTAGAGTTTCAAAACCTTCCCTCAGATGAAGCCAAAATATCTTTTTTCCTCCTTTTTTTTTTTTTAGTAACACTAACAGTAATGTATCAGGCAATAATTGTTTTATGTTGTGTTTTAGTAAAAGTAATTGTAAAATATGGCTTGTCTTCCCACTGTGTACCACAAAGCACATAGTTTTTTGTTTCCAAAGAAAATTAATCTTCCTATGTTGTTTCTGATATAGGTTAGCTTAGAATGTTAACTTACTGTGTGATATAATAACAGTGCTGTGTAGAGTCACCAAAATAACTTAGTCTTATAAGAAATTTTTTAGACTTTATTGACCCAGTCAGCAAAAAAAGCATAATAAGAATGGATGCAATGCAGTCATTCTTGAAAAGGTTTTACAGATGGCTACCAAGGAAGTTGGAGTTTATGCATTTCAGTGCAAAAGTCAGACCTGAACAGAGGAGAGATCATCTGATTCAAGTAGAGTTGAAAGAATTACATAGATCTGATATTAAAAAAAAAAAGGAGGGGGCTAAGTATCTATAAATAGAAATTGTCTCAAGGGTAGGAAAACTATATACGAGCATATTACTGCAGAGTGCCTTGTATGGTGTTTTTATTTGAAAGTCTTAAAACATTTGAATCAAGGTAAATACTAAAACATTCTTATGCAATTAGTAAAGATGATTTTTATTTTGTATTTGGAGAAACCAAAGCTTTGGGGTGCTGTCACCAGGGAAAAATTGTGCATTAAATGAAGGCTCTGTTTTCCTTCCTATAATTTTTGTAGGAATTGCAGAGCTCTTTCTCCAGTCCTGTCTCTCTTAAGCCACACAGTTCCACCTGACCTCTGTTATTTAGAAGCAATTGAGTATGTTCCCAAAATATTTTTATATGTGTGTCTTGGTTTCCTGGTCCACAATGCAAATGGCATGTCACTGTTGTCGCTTCCTCAGCACTCTGGTAAAATTCTAACTATCACAAAAAAAGCACAAACTTATGTGATATCTGAGTAAATTTCAGTGAAATCATGTAAGGTACAACAACCTTTTCATATTCATTTGTCTTGACATATATTGCTTTTGAGTCTTCCTTTAAGAACTGTGTTTCAATAGAAGCTTGGTAGTGGATGAAATAAATAAGAGTGTGTTGGGGGTTTTTTACATACTGAACAGGTGTGTTTGCATTGTAGAGTTCCGTATTCCAAATTTAGTGCTCAGGAGATATGTAATAAATAAAAAAAAAAAATAAAAAACTATGTTAGTATTAATTTAAAGAGCTCTGGTATAAATTGAGTTATGGAAAAACATTCTCTCTTTTAAATTTTTTTCTAGTTCTCTTACAGTATTTTCTGAGTAATAATATGCAAACATGTAGGATATCTGTTGCAGTTCTTGATGATGAAAAGCTTTTTACTTTATTATTAGTTTTTGAGTTAAAACCTCTATGTTTATATTTATAATCTGATGAATGCTTTGACTCCCAGTGTTTTTCCTATAGAAATATTTGAGGGTTTTTGTGTATTCTTACTTGAGGTTTTTTCTTCCTTTCTTCCAGAAGCCTGAAGAAAGTAGAACAATCAGTAAAATAAGCAGAGGTAAGTATGTATAGTCTGTATTTGTTTTCACTCGTGGCTGCCTTTTTAGTATAAACAAAATACAGTTATGCTTTGTAAAGTGACTGTGTGAACAGTGCCTAAATGCCCAACAGCATGATCAGTTCATTGCTGATTCTTAAATACCTTTTTTTTTTCCTTTGGCTCATGTAGTCTCATGAAACAGAAACTTCTGAATCTTTGATTATACTTGCAGTTCTTATAGTTAAGTATTTTCTGAACATGTGCACTTCCACTATGAAACTGATGAATTGTGTTTTGTAGGACACTGTATTTTAAAATAAAATTTTATGATACCTAGTAGCTATTCTTGTAACAGTTTAATATAAAACTGAATGTTACCATTCTGCTAGGCTCTCATGATACATGTAATAACTAGGGCTATCATAAATTTCTTGTAACAAATTATAATAACTTTGTAATATCTAGAAGCAAGTATTTAAGAAGCATGTCAAACATTAATAGGTAAAATAGTGGTAAAATAATTTTTTTGCTGCTGGACATGTGTGATAAATAATGACAGTAAAAATTCTGCAGGGTTCTGCCTTTTCTGAAGACAAGTCTGGTGTCCTTCTGGCAAAAAGTTAACAAACCTGAGATAAAGACTTGTGTTCTCTGCACTGTAACCCTGGACTTCTCATTCTGCTAAACCCTCTAGACTTGGCCCTGCTTGTTCTAAAAGGAACCAGCTTAATCATGTCTCTGTTGTAGTAGTTTCTGAGTAGTTGTGAGTTCATTCTGACATTAAAGCTGAATACCAGGAAGATTTAGCGCTTTTGAGATATAAATCTTTAAAAAGACTCCATTCTTTGTTTTGATTGGTAGACTGTTTCTCAACTTGAGAAACAATTTAGGTGGTAAAAATTATACCTATTTTAGGGTGACATTTTAATACACTGAATGTGTCTTTTTATTAGCCTCTTTAAACTCCTTATAACAGGGGAAACTATTTCCATTGGATTAAAGTAGGTGTTACCTTACTCCTAGAAAATATTCTATTGTGGATTATCACAGCTGTTGTTAAATGTACTGTAAATGAAACTGAGTGTAATTCAGATACTTCCTTATCTGTAAACATACTGATACTAAAACAGTAATTACATAAAGCAATGTAGTGTTTGCTTTTTTTCTCTGGGGATGTTTTGGTATTGTGCATGTAGATTTAGCCCTTTGACTCTCATTAGCATCAATGAAGTATAGTTTCAATTTTTGCAGTGATTTTAATTTTTTCCACATGAAATCTTGCAAAGATCTTACTAGACAGCAAACAGTTGCCATTCAGAAGGTTTTGTTACGCATGGGGTTTGTAAGCAGTTTGTTTGGTGATTCAGAGCATGAACACTGTTCATTCCTACACTGTGTGGGGAAAATATAAAATTAAAACTGATATCTTAACCAGTGCTTATGCCACCTTTAAAATGTATCACCAGAAACCTCAGACAATTTGACAATGTCAGAGTCTGTCTTGGTGAGTAAGCTAATAAATTGAGGGAAAATAACAATAAGGGAAAAGTAGAAAAACATTTAACTACAGATTTGAGCTGTCATAGGTTTAAACTAGCAAGTAGCTGTTCAGAGGAGCAAAGCAATGATTCTCAGGTCTTGGACATTGCAGTCTTCTCATAACCATAGTGAAGATATTTGTAGTTAATGCTCTTTTTATTCCCACTGTTTTTATTGTGATCCTTCTTCATGTGTTCAGTTTTATTCTTTTTCCTTGTGACTACTTCTTTCCTTATTTTGATGTTTTTTTCTTCACCTTTGTTCTTTTCTTCATTCATCCTACTCTGTTTACCAAGTTGGCATATAATTTTTTGGTGTGAACTTTATTCCTTCTCCACATTTTTTTGCAATTCTGTAGATATCCCATGGGATATTAATTTCTTTCCTTTTTGTACTGTCTCAAGTTATGTTCTGAGTTACCTTTTGTGTATACTTTCTACATAGTATCTGTAAAGTTCAGCTTTTTCTGGCCAAATAAACAGTAACTGCAATATCATGTGATTCTCATCTTACAGTATCTTGATTGATACTTAGTTATGGTCTTGAGTGAGTTATACAGCATAGATCAAACTTGTTAAGAATTCTGGAAAGGGCCTCTGTCCTCTTCCCTTCATCTTCTCATCCTTTGTTGTCCTCTGCTGTGTTCTGCTTCTGAATGGGATCATACCTGCGTGCTGCTCTTAGTTTTCTAAGTGTTGAGGGACTATTCTACCTACTGTCATCAAGAAAATTTGGCTTTGTCACCCACTTGCATTTTTTAAATCCATAAATGTTTGCAAATCTACTTCATTATTTTCTTTTCAATTTATCAATAAATTTGTCACACTTCTCTTGTATATATAGTTCTTAACCATGACGTCTTTAAACACTGATGACATTAATGTGAGACATTAGTGCTGTCCTGTTAGATAAGAGCATTACCTCATTGTTCTCATGTGTGTGCCTCTCCATCTGATGTTTGTTTCTGGGTAGGGGTTTAAGTTCTCTTTTGGAGAAGCATCTTTTCTGTTTTCATGTTCATGCACTGCCTAGTGAGGGGAGATGCTGGTCTGTGACTAACACCTTTTAACTCTAGTAATAAGGAGTGCTGGTGTATTGGAGAAAAAGCGACTTCTTGAATGTGGCTACTGTTCGTTGTGGGCATGTAAGATCTGCTGCACATCTTCTACTCATGCCATGCTTTTTATAAGGTAATCTTGAAAAGGACAGTTTGGGATTTTTTTTGTATGTGTTAAATTACGCCTTTTTACTATTTTATGAAAAATTTTTATAGTTGAAGAAATATCTTGCTGGGTAATAGATTCCCCCAGACATCTGGATTCTCACTAGCTTTGGAACAAAATGGAAAATAACTTCTTTTGTCTTTAAATCTTCCTTTTTTCTGGTTTACAGAATTAAAAGAAGTTGTATTTGTCATCCAGAGTCAAAGTAATTCTTTTCATTCCAAGAGAGCAGAAGATCTAAAAAGAGATATTTTAAAACAGGCTGCAGATCTTGGAAAGGTATGTTGAGATAATATAAAGTACACCTTGTATTGCTGT